CTGAGTGTTCAGTGAGTGAGGTGCGCGGAGGTAGCTTTGTTGGTTTGGCTAAATACTTCTTATTTTTCTTCGGTTTCGTGCCTAATATGCCCAATTGTGCCCAACGAACCTTAAGAGACTGCAGAAAAGGTATGTACTCCAGTACTTCTTTAATTTAACTCTTAACTTATAACATTTTAAAATAATTCCAGTGACTAAAATTGGTCATTTGTAATTTTTTAGCATGATAACTTGAAATTTGGTAGCACCAAGAGTACCTGTGCTGTACAGTTAGGCTGCAAACAAAGTTCCATTACTAAATCAATTTACTTTAATTGGCTTTTGGGCAAAAGTTGCCAAGCTATAAGTGAAAATTAAATGAAAACCGAACTGAAATCAAAAGTTAAGGTCATGGCATTAAATAAATTGCCATTTCCCCGACAACTTAACCAGGCGCAAACTTCGTAAAGAAATTAATTTCCCGTCCCTCGGAGGGAAAGTGTGCGACTGTTGCGTTTGCAAATCTTTCAGGACCGCCTCAAGGCATTCGTGTGTAATTTTTTGTCATTGATTTGGTCCCGGCAACAGTTTGTCAAGCACTCACATTTGACCCCATTCCGCCCCAGATGTCGACCCTTGACACAAACAGTCAGACGGGACGGCCAGAACTCAGCTCCAGCTTCTTTGGAAATTTATTGCGTTTTGAAGTATTTTTCCGGTTTTGTTACCCGGAAATTGCCAAAACGTGTGGCCGGCGTGCGAAATCCTTGAAATGTACTAAAATAAATTATTAATAATTTCTATGAGGGCCCCGGCAGAATCCAGACTTTGGGAATTTACACTGTTTGTCGTCGAATAAATGAATTATTTATTTTAATGTCAAATATTCCTGTTCCCAAGTTCCACCCTCAGGTCAATTGCTGTATTTGCTTGTTCGTTTGTGTCTTTATTTTAGGGTCCAGACTCAACTCGTTCCATCTGCAAAAAACGTGCTGGTGCTGTTTTCTGCCATTTTCATTTTCACGATTTTGGGAAGATAATCTATTTTGTCATTCGCCTCAATTTGTTTGTCTACAGTGGCCTTACAAACTGGAATCAAGGTTCATGATTGACGGATGTTCGGTATTCATTATTCAGATCCAGTTTTATCTTGACAAAAAGTGGGCAAGAAGTAAAATATGATTTGTTTTTATCCTTAAAGGATGTAAAGAAGGGAATTTCCAAAGACACCATGATTTTATGCATACTTGACACTGTAAATTATTTGAAAAAATTAAAACTGCATATTTCAAAATATTTATAATAAATTTAGTAATGAATGAAAACTTCACTTAAAGGTTTTATAGCTCGAGCTACAACCACAAACGAAGAGCTCAATGCCATCTTTCAAAAGCAATAAGCAAAATACGAAACCTTGAGAAGAAAAATCATTTGAAGGGGCATGCGAATTTCACTTTTCAATTAAGGCCAGAAAATTATGAATCAAATAAAATTCCCAACACCGCCCATCGGCGGGATGGATGTGAGTCAAGGTTTTGCATTCACTTTGATTCAATTTAGCAGCGGTAGGAGATGAAGAGTAGCAACTTGAACTGTCTGTCATTCATCAGAGAGCACATATGAAATGGAATTTAATGATATTATATCAATATTCTCGCATTGTCTGTTTGCCTGCGTCCTGTTGCTGTTGTCAACGTCAATGACATGCAATTATTTTCGCATTAAAACCCATTTCCGTTATTGTAGCTGAAGCGAGCCATTAACGGTTGGATGAAGCTTCTATGGCTTTATGTAGGACTGCAAGTGTTGGGAAATATCTATTTCGGCAACTGGTGAAATCGTTCAAAAAAAGTGAGTATCTTTTGCGAGTGAAACAGGTACCGCTGAATATTGTTACAACTCAAATTATGTCATGCATTTTCATCACGCCTTGCAACAAGTAAATAATCCTGCAAAACACAAGAGAAGCATAGTCCCAACCCGAAAGTAGACAGTTTCACAGCACTGGCGACCATGTGCGCTAATGGCCAGCAACGTTGGCAAGTCGGCAATCAATACTACAATCGGTCGGTTGCTGCCACTCGCCACTCGGCACTCGTCATTCGCCACTCTTATGTAAATTGGAGATGAAGTCCTCCCCTTTCCCATCCCTCTGTTGGCACAGCATAATTAAAGGGATATATGTGGGTGGTTGGCAGGTCGCCGTATCCTTCCCTTCGGATGCGGCGGCTGCATGGTCATATTAAAATTATTATTGTATGCACTGGGCAAATGAGAAAAGTTGGCGGAAAATTGCATTTAAGTCGAAGGATTCGGGGAACTTTAATATTTACAATCAATTTGAAATTCGCGAAAACATTTACATCAGTATTGCGGCGGAAAGTTATTGTCCCTTCGACCATCCACTTAAGGCCATTAATTCGTTCGGGCGACAGCTGCGGAAAGTGAAAATCGTCTTTTGGTGGGGAAATGAAATTAACATACTGCGCAGCAAGTGGGAAAATTTAATTAAAGTGGCGTAAAAAATGATTGTTGAAAACGAGCTCTCGGACTAGCTTTTGGCATCGAGCGGAATATATATTTGTTGCCATATCATTCCGATCTTATTGACCATGAAACATTTCCATTTAGTGGCCGTGCAACCGTTCTTTCATTATTTTTATTGTGTGAACTGTTTATTGTGCTGCCTAATGTGGCGCAGTCTAGACACTTTTAATATATATTTATTTTCGGCTCCGGGGTGCGGGGTACGGGGTACGGTAGGCCAGTTCAGGCCAGTTCGTGTTAAAGTTGAAAATACTTCACAACGCTCATACGCCGCATTGGCCACATAAATCTTTCTCCTCGTGCGATTCCAACTATGAGCCCATCTTTGTGTACGAGTATGTGTGCACATTAAAAGTTTGCCTAAGAGCTTATGGCACCATTTGTAAAAGCGATTTTTAATGCTGCTGCTGGATCCGCACACCCGAGGGTGTGAAGGAGTGAAAAGCCCCCTCCAATGCCATGGCCATCTAATGGCTTTCCACGCATCGCATGGAAAACTTTTTTAATGAGAGCGATCCGTGCCAATACCCTTTGTCGACGTACGTGGAAATATAACCAGTCGCTGAGATCCGCTGCTGGAAATATAATTTCCGAGGGTCTTAGCTTTTATTACTTTCAAATTTCAGCTGCTAATCAGAAGGAAATCTAATTGCATCCACAATTATCATATTATCTCGTGGGACTGGCTAACAAACAACCTTAGACTGCATATTTATTTTGAAATCTCCTATAATTTCCAATAACTTGGGCCGATTAGCGGTACCAAATCTGACGCCCATGGGGCATTCAAAAGCCTGGTCTGAAATACAAGAAACGTAGCCTTGCCACATTAACTACTGCCATTTAAATGGCTTGGCAGCTCGTGGCATTTCCCGCGGGAAGAGCTGCGGGGTGGGTAATTAGTTGGGGCGCATTAAATCTCTATGATTTTGTCACGGCCTGACATTGGGGCTTTGGAATTAGCTTGGGCTACAGCAGCTATGACATAGCCAGTATTGAGCGAATCGGCTTACAAAGTTTCCATGGCAATCGAAAAGCGTTTTATCAATTTTCATGAAACTAAGGCGAACAGTGTTGTTGTTGCTGTGCTAATATGGCCTAGGCTCAGCTGAAAATTGTAATTGAAAAGTTTTGCATTACAATTACAGCATATCTAAAACTAAGTCATTTGTAAATAATATAGCAATTTATGACATGCTTTGCGTTAGACATTTTGTTCGAGTTGAAAACTTATTTCAAGGTAAAAACATTTTAGGTTACATTCCGCAAATCCATTAAAGTGCTCTTCATATACTGCAAGCTATGCCTCTGATTACACTATAAAAATGAGTGCGCCACATTTGGCTATCGAAAATCATTTAATATGAAAATTGGGTAAACAGGGCAGGAATATTCATCACGAGGGATTTCATTCCCAAATAAGCACACATTTATCAGAATCGTTTTAATAGCTTATTAAATTTATTTTAATTCCATTAATCATTGCCAATGTTTGCTTCATTTGTGCCTGAGGGCAGATAGCCGACAGCCATTTAAATAAGCTGTTGCATGCAGTTCGCCACCGGACACAATCATCCAATGGCGATGCATAATGTCAATCAGCTGTGTAATTAACGCGGCCAAATGGACAACGGCCGTAACAACATTTCCAGTGACAAACGGGAGCCATAAATATGGCTAATCGGTATGGCAATGATTTGATTAGATCGGCACAGCTATGTACACGACTTCAGCTGCACAGCACTTGGAGAAACCAACTCACGTTAGCTGCCTTGGATGCTAGGTAATACTTCAGAATCAAGTACTTCTTGATAACAAAATAATGATAATATATTAATTATATTAATTAAAAAAATAAGTTTTTTATCGGTCTAAAGAACCGACTTAACCTATTGATTGTACCTGAAACATCGATGGAAAGCAGAAAGAAACTTAACTTTCTAAGTAATTAAAACTACTGAACTATATGAAATTAGCTAATTACAACATATTGTAATATTCGTTCTCTCCGTGCTCAAATGGCCATGTGAGTGCTTCGGATTTCTGACAGCCCGACACAATCAACGCCAAGTAATTAGCATTTATCAGGTTGAGCGAATGTCAAGCGATGGGTTCGGGCTCACGCTTGAAATTTGGGGCCGAGTTCGGTTTGAGCTTGGGTTTGGGCTTGGATTTGCATGTGTATAGCATATTAGCCGGGGGCTAAGCCGTTTGCAGCTATTTGGCAGCTGACAGCGGCTCTCAGTTTCAGTTTTGGCGCCAAGCAATTAATTAAATGCTGTTAATGAATGTGAATTCCGCTGCTGCGGTAGACACTAGACACTGTGTTTTAGAAGTTTCAACTTTATTCTTCAAATTATTTTATTTCAAAGCTAACTGGCTTAAAACAGATAAATCTTATCATTCATAACACCGAGAGTTTAATTTAATAGAAATATACCTTTTCGAAAACTTATTTTAGTTTTTCTTTTCATATTGCATTAACGTTTATTTTAAATATATGTATTACAGTTCAAAACTCGAGGATGAAGCTGGGCAAAGTTAACAAATTATCAAGTTGTCACTAAGAAATTTGCATGAATTTACTTAATGGTAACTATTATTCTAGGAAACATTTTTAGCCCCTCCCACTTTTCCCTCTACGAAGGTGTTCATTTAAAACAGACAACCAGAAATGACAAAGTGGCAACAGCTGATTCGAAATGGCCACTTTTGTTCATTCATAAATTATTAATCCGCCAACATTTGAAATCTTCGAATAAGTTGTTGAGAGTTCATGCTTCAACAGTCGCTTGTAAATAATACCGCTAGTTTCCACTGACTATCCAGTGTGTGTCATATCTTATTTATTTATATTTTGAGTCGGCTTTGAATGGTGCTTATCTAATCTAGTTAAATGGATTCCTACAGCCTGACGAAGCGCGGAAAAGGGGTGATAGTGGGCAGGGGGCCGCGTCTAGGGCGCAGGGTGCTGGTGAGGAAGTAGTTTGAGAATCGGGACTGGAACCCGCCTCCGAAACCAGGAGCATGGGTGGGCTGAGGGTGAACCGCTTGGGGAGCAGGATGAACGGAGTATTGTGGGCGGTATGCTGGGGCGGGCTGCACCGAGTACTGCGGACGTGGAGCAGACGGCGCGGTGACCTTGGGAGCTGCCGGAGGAGTGACCTTGAACACAGCCGGCTGAGAGATCCTAACCACGGGTTTTGGCGTAGTGTTCACCACTGGCTGCGGCGCGTCCTCCGCCGGCTTGACCTCGTCTTCGAAAGGTGGCAGTAGATCTAAGGGGAGCTGTGGAGCATCCTGCTTGATGGCACTGCTCTTCAACTTATCCTCCTTGGCCAGCTGGGCTGGCTTCTGGTAGTACGATTTCTTGGTTGGCTTTGTGGCCAGCGTAGTGGCTGGCGCCTCCGTTGTGGTCGTCGTCGTGGTCGTCGTCGTGGTGCTCGGTTCATCATTAAGGGGCGGTAGCAAGTCATTGAATGGCAGTTCCACTTCACCCGCCTTGACTTCCGAGACGTCAGCTCCACTCAAACCGATCAGCACGGCAGAGGCAAGGAGGAACTGCAATTCAACGGGACAGGTAGTTACTAAAGGTAATCTTCATGTGCACTCTGGGCAACATGGTGCTATTCGGTACTGCATTGGACTAAGTAATAAAAAGTATATTTTATGTATTTATTTTATTTGGTTAAGAAAAGGCGTGCTAGTAAATTAACCTAACATAACATAACTGTTACTAAGTTGAAGCGAAAGTTTTCGAAAAGAGTAAGATGTATTTGTTTACTAATTTTGGTGAATATATCTCCAAAGTTATGGCTCCATTGTTTGAAATGGTCACAACCATTCCAATGTGTTCCAATTTCAAGCATTTTGTTAGTTAACTCTAAAGTGTGGGAGCTCCAAAATTATTCCAACCTGATTTGACTTGACCTTCGAATCTGCAAAAGCCTTGCATTGTTAGGCACATGCCAAAACTGGATTAATTTATAGTCATTTCTATTCGCATTTAGATTCTAAATAAAATTTTCCTTCCCTTGTGCTAAAGGTCATTATACCCTCTCCAGTTCTGATTAACATACCGCAGATAAAGATACTAATTGAGCTTGAAATCTATGCAAATTTTTAGTTTGAAGAGAAATAAATAAAGTATACGTCGACTTGTAGTTATGGCTCGCATGTTCACACCTCGGGCAATTAAGACATTAACTGTTGTGACTAAAAAAATACAGTTTTTTTTTCTATTTTATCATAACTTATATAAATATTAAACATTTTTATTTTTACCAAAGTATTTAGTTAAGTTAATTTAATTTCATGACCAATTTCTGATGTTTAATGCATTAAACTGGAATTTCGCTAATGATGCTTACGCAAATGGCTTATTAGAACAATTTCTTGCATTTTTTAGTCTATTTCAGGAAAGACCAGCTTGGAACAGCATTTCAACAGCAACAACATTTTGAACAATTTTAAATTCACAGTTATGCACACGACTCGTTCACTTACGTATTTCAGAAACATATTTGCTAGGAATCCTTTTGTTTATTTAAGGCGGAAAACTTGTGTCCCGTACCGAACACTTTGAAATTTTCGAACGAACTAAAAGCGCCGCTGAGCATGCGCAGCATTTTTATAGTCGCTGAAACCGATCCATTTTGAAATTGAAACGGCCCAGAAGTTACACGATCATGTTGCACAGTGTAAGGTTTAACAACCGGATTAAAACCGGGGGTTTTAATTTATTTTTATTTTTCTTGGGATGGCAGAAGAGCGCGAGAGCGAAGCTTGCTCTTGGCCAATTAAGTGGTTTCTTCGACGTTTTCAATCTGAAGTTCGGTAGAATGCAGCAGCATAAGATGCCGAAACAGCTGATTAAGCTGTGAACTCTTTCGGGTTCACGGTCGCATCTTGTAGATACATGATATCGTATCTCATGTTTTGAATCTGGTCATCACACATCTGAGGGTTCTTAACTTGATTTCTGGGAGAGCGAACGTAATTATTAACATTTTTGTCAGCGGTTTGCATAAATTGTGATAAAAGCCGAAGGTGGCTTGCGTCACTTCCTCATACAAGGGGGTGTATGCCCATGCTGGGAGATTGATTTTATTTCCATTAATTGATATGAATAGTATTCGCAGAGGCAACCTGTTATTTCGCTACCCAGCGGTACGCCCTCATTTGCATTTAAATCGTGGGGGGATTCTTTAATGGAGTGAAAGCAAATTAGTGCCAATTACAAGTGCCTCGATAGCAGATCAGCATCTCCGTCATCAAAGCCCAGAATTTGATAGGGCCCTCCGTCGTCTGTTGGCTTTATTACCTCAATTTCGGTTAATACATCTCCAATTTATGCAAATTATGTGAGCGTTGATTCCTAACGTCGAGACTTTTTGTGTGCGTGCGAAGGCTCATAAATTATGAGCCGCATTAGAGGCAACCGGATTTCTCGGTTTTGGTTGTGTTCGGTTTGGTTTGGTTCGGTTTGTTCCACGAGATTAATTGCCCAGCAGTCCAGTGTTAAGATTCGTGTGGTATTTTCTGATAAGCGTTAGCAAATAGTTTAAACTTTGAGCTGCCTGAGGTATTTGGCCTAAGTGGATTCATTTTTAAAAGATGTTTACCGCTTCATCAAACAGTGTAGTGCTTTTCGTCAAACGTTTTTTGGATCGCCAGGAATTAAAGTCGTAATTAATCAGATTTTTTGGTTATAAAGTTAAATGGTTTTACTTTAACGTGATTAACTAATCAGGTTTCAAGAGGCCAAACTAGATTTAACAGCTGTGAAGACTTACTTTTGATTTGCATTTGGGTTCGGTGAAGATAAACCCATTTATTATTATAATAAATATTTATTGATTTATTAATTGTAATATGATTTGTTATGCGTAACAAATATGTTTAATAATTTTAAAAACATAGTTATATTGTTTAAATTCAAATAACGTCGCTTTTGATTGTTTTGAAATCATCAACTAAATCAAACATTTCTGTTAAAAACAATTGGAAAAGCTTTGCTGCCTGAATTCTTAAGTTTTAAGTAAAATATCCGTAATTTTTAACAGCACAGTACACTTTACATCAATTATTGAATCGCCATTTCATTGAGAATTCCCGTGCCTTAAATTCATCAAAAGCGAATTATTTATTCGGCCCCAACTGGGCCCGGCTGAATTGTTCAAGTGTTTTCACTTAACCAGCCGATTGGCGTGGCTCCTTTTTATGCGGCATTGTTATTGTTCTCGATTGTGTTCCATGACCCACTCCATTCCTGGCTTCCATATCCTCTCTGTTATTTATTTGTATGTATTTATTTATATTTACGTGGGGTGGGCCTGCGATAAGGGAAACTTCGAGCGCCGATTGCCGAACTCCGTCTGCAGGAGCGGAGTCCTTTGGGCACTCACGCGCATTCAATTGTCTTTGTATATGCATATAAATCGAAAAATTCGGTTGCTCCATCGAGAAGGACGACGAGTGTCAATGCGTGACATAAACAATGTTTGTGGACGGAAGATGTGCCATCGCAATCGAGCTCCAATCTTGTAAAGGTATTCCTTTAAATCGAAGCAACGCAAAATTGGTTTGAATATCGCATGAAACATATTACCCCAATCGTACTAAAATGAAGTAACATCCTCTAAAACGAGTCAAATGAAGGTGGCGTAAATCAATTCAAGCGGTAAATTTGCGGCTCGCATAATTAATGAACCGTTCGGGTTTTGTGTGCCTTTGGATAACTTTCAGTTAGGGAAATTTACACTGTCAACACTTTCTGGAGCTGAAAACTGTCTGCACTTTCAAGTTCAAGTTTACTTAAAGTGCATACAAAATTTATGAGGAACTACAAAATTCATATATTGCTTAAGAATATACAAGATGTAAAGAGTAAAATTCCCTCTAGCAGTAAAGCCATTATGTTCTCATGAAAATGAAATATATTGTACATTTCTTAATTATTTAAAACGATGCAAGCTTTGCCGATTTTTTGGTTTGAGTGCAAGCTTTTATTTTGCCAACCTAAATCTTCATACTCCCTGTTTTATTTTTACCGGCACTTCCAGGTAAACAAGTGGCGAGCATTTTAGCCGGACTTCCTACCTGTTTTCGGTAGAACATGTACTAGCACTTTTAGCCTGGCCCGAGGTCGTTTCGCCTGCCAATCTGTTTGCTCTTGCCCACGAACTTGCTGTTAGCTTTGTTTTGCCTTAAAGCCCTTTCAGACTTTCTGCACCGGCTTGAGATGGAGTTTCATAGGGAACGTGAGCAAGCTGGACTCGTGGCCCAATGCCGTTTTGCCGTTTACAACTTCCTGGACAGGCTTTTGGCCTTGCCTTTTGGCCTGTCGTTGGTCTTTTGTTTGCCTTTTCATTTTCGCGTTCCTTCTTGCAGCTATACCCATTATTCGAACGGTATCTACATTATACGGCACATCTCCAGATATTTCATATTACGTTGGTACTTTATTAATAATAAAAAAATAAAATAAATAAAAATGTTTTTCTAGTTTTTAGGCAGTTCTACACATTATACATAAAAAAATAATTTTCGTTCATTACCAGGTATGTCATAGTCGCGGTTTTAGACCATCAACACCTTGTTATGCCCGATTCTCGTAAAAGGGGAATACTAGATGGGTTGAACAGTATGTAAATGTAGAAGGAAGTTTTTTTTTATTATTTTTCTTGCCATTAAAAATTGTAGACATTTTAAAAAAATTTTTATATTTCTACCTCGCAGCAGCACTAGCTGAGTAGAGGGTATATTATAGTCGATAAGCCCAACTTTAGCGTTCTCTCTTTTTTTATTTAATTTTTTTGTCTGCCCTCTACAGTTATTGTCGTTTTCTGGTTGCCTGTTTGTTGTTCTTGGCCGCAAGTTTGTTTTCAGCTGTTGCCAAGTGGAATGCACCGTCTGCAGCCGCGTCCTGCCCCTGTAATTAGCACAAAAATGAGGCTAGAAGGTTCCTTTTGCCCCAGAAGAGCAGGATGCACCCAGAATGTTTGCAAGTTGAACTTCCCGCTGAGAACTGGTGTTGCTGTTGCAGTTGCATGATTTGCGGGCCCCAAGTCAAACTCAAGGCACTCGCACAGCGCGCACTCGAAAGTCATAAAGTGCAAAAATTGTTACACTCAGGCAGAAATGAATTATGAAAGTTGCAGCCAACCTTCTCGGATTCTTTGCCTTGTTTTGCTAACCCTTTTTCCGTTTCCATCCCCCGCTTTTCACCCCCGTTGAGCTCAGCGAAAGTTAAGTTTTCGGGGAAAGTTCTGTTTGCGAGTCGAGTGCATATTATTTAATTCAATTTGAATGGGAAACTCAAAAATATTGCAAACTGCAGAGCAAACCAGCGGGAAGTCGTTGTCTTCTACTTTCATTTACCATTGCTCGCCCAGTTCGCAAGTTGTATTTTTATTCGATTTGAGTGCGGGCCAGTCAGTAACTCTTTTAAGGTCTGAGTTGGCCTAAACTTGAATGGGCTCAGAGGGAATGTTTCGACTTGAAACTTACAATAACTTGTACGTACGAAATGTCTCCGTAATACGTTTAGTGAATTAATGTAACTTGCTATCGTTTAATATTGTAAAGATCTTATTTTCTAATACTTTATCTAGTTATAATAAAGATACCTAGATACCTATTAGTTAATATGATATAACATTTAAGTGATCGATCGTTAATGTTAGAAGTAAGTAAGTAGGATTTAGAAAACATGTTTTGTGTTTAATTAACATGGCACGATATGTTATTCTTTGGAAACTTTCTTTACATTTACACACAGCCTACACTGCCGTTTTTTATCAAGCTTCTGGGCTTGTTTAATTGCCCGGATAGCTAATTAAAATCAGACTTAAATTCCCTGCATATTCGAGACCGCAGCGAGGGCAAAAACAACAGCACAAGCCAAAGTAAAATATATTACGCAGTGCGCCTAAAAGCCGACACCGAAAACTTTGTCCTCGCCTTTGCAAATACAAACACACGTGAGAACTTGTCAACTTTTCTGTGCGGGGCTGCAGCAACTTTAATTAGAAAGTTTTGTCACACATGCAGGCAGTTGGTAAGCACATTTGCGGTCCAGGTAATAGCATCGAAAATGCCATTGCAAAATTGGAGAACATCCCAAGGGCCTACTACTAAATTGTCTTTAGCAAGCCGATTAATGCAGATTTTACTTGTTCAGTTTTAATGTTTTAAAGTATCTTGTGAGATACCAGATTGAGCTATCGCATTTTTATGTACATATTTTATTGCTATCCCAGTATAGGCACTTTGAGATACTTTCCATATAAGTGCGAGGAAATATATACAACTGTAAGCACTATTATTTTGCGAAGAATTGTGCGAATGCGGTGCCAGAATGATCTGCTGCCCAAATACTCCAGGAATCAAAGTCCGTATTCTCTGAAACATTGTACATTTTGAAGCGAGTGTGCGACCACAGAGTCAATCTAAACTTTTCAAATCAATTTTAATTACCATAAATATGTTCCAACCTTTTGCTTAGTGCAGATGTTGATTGTTTCAACCAGCTCGTTCGTGTGTCAGTTAAAAAAGCAAAAGGGTTGGATGTCGCGAGTTTCCTCGGTTTCAACGCTCAGAGGGA